ATCAGTATCAGTAAGTAAAGCTTTGTGAATAAATATGGGCGCTACAAATTACAATCGATATCAGTTATCACATTTCACGAAATTACTTTACATGGCTTCTTTTCTTAGACGCCATACCAAATATTTCCCGGTACAGTCAATTTAAAGCAAAATTTGTTGGCATACATATTTTACTGAAAGTTGAAACTCTTATCCTAACAGTAAGTTAAGTAACAAGATCTAACCACAGTTACATTTCTTAGGCTTAACTTTAATGTTATTATCATTAGTATTATGCTACTAAAATGATATTTCTGGAAACATTGACAGTGAGTTTGATATAATATTTGCATAACTTTTATAACTACTTACTAAGCTTTCCGTGTTCATTTCGATAGTTATTTTACGAATATTAGACCCATACCTCAAATTAATGATATTATAAGGACACGAGATGGAGCAAGTGTCGAAGTCTGTCTGCTATGGCGTAATACTAATAACAATATGGCGTTCAGTGGTGGAATGTTTTCGAATCTTGGACGTGTACCAACTGTTTTGGAACAAATGCTTTCCGAAATATCTTTTCACAGAACTAGAGAAATGAGGCAGTACGGAGCGGAGGGTAGTTATATTTAATTTTTTCACAACATATCTTAATCTGTGTTCCTTACTATTTCATATAAAATATATTATAATCTAAATTAAATATAATTTATTAATTTGTTTTTACTTTTAGTATGATGAATACAATCATATTTTATTTTTTAAAAAGAAGATACTCAAATTTTGAGTCAGAGTGTGAAATTAATAATAATACCCATCGTGGACCTTGACTTTTATAGCCCAAGTTACAGTTACTTCCCATAATATTCTGAATTTCATCTCCAACAAGTGTTATTATTCTAAATCTAACTTCTAGTTCTAAGCCCTCCCAGTACCATACATTAGAAACCAAACATGCTTCAGGAATCAGGATTGTAAATTGTTCAGTCCCTGTACATAAAGGTCTTATACTTAATTACTAATAACGATTAAACACCTGAATCAGGCCACTAAGTCTTGCAAGTATATACTTCAGAAAAAATATCTTCATATTTTTCAGTCTATTCATAGATTAAAGGTTTCAAACCAGGAATAACTTGGGCAGTCACATGTCTGAAGTTCTTAATCTTTTGAAGCAAATCACTATCTTTTCCATAAGTATAATAAATTATTACAACTTGTGATGTATCAATGGGTTTTTTGACCTACCAAACATGTCAATGTCCTGTTTTCCAATCTCCCTAAATCATTAAGTCTGGATCTGTTACAGTGTATTCTACTCTAAATCTAATTTTTCATACAGATTTACAACTCTATTGAAGAAATAAAACAACTCAACTATAACCATTTTAAATCTTGAATAATATGACATTCAGAATTTATCACAAAACATCTTATAAAATATTTTTTTTTATGTACCCATAATAATTTTGAATACCTCAATTAGATCAGGGTTTTTATCATGCTTCTTACATCTCTTCATGCTCTGGAACCTTGTTGATCCATATACCTCTGTACTGAGCAAGAATTTCATACATATCTTATTGTACTGTGCAAAATTTGATACTTGTAGTTTCTTGAGTGGTTGTGATCCAGATAATTTGTATTCTTAATATTTTTGGAAGTTTCGTGGAGTTTTTCTAAACATAATTTATACAGTAAGTACATATACAACCTATATCTGGAGATATACATTTACTGCAGAGATTATAATTCTAAAATGGTTTTGACAGATTAATGAATTGCCAACAGACTGCCAACTTTAACTATGGAATAAATAAAAATCAAAGCATAGAGCCCTGTGATATTAATGCAACACAAATTATTTTAATTTTAAACTTGCATCATTAATTATAATTTTCAGTCATCTGGATAACAAATATCCAGATTTTCACTACTGAAAACATTAAAATGACCTACAGGATACAAGAATTAAGTCTTTATTTTATGAATAGGAAAGTTAATTTATTTTCATTCTGGTAGCTAGAAATTTGTGGAAGTGTCACAGTATTTATCATTCTCTTAAACATCTAGTTGTTTGTGTGTCAGTATTTTGATAACAATGTATAAGCAAAAGTTTGCAAGAGCTGCAGGTAATGTAAATATACATTCATAAGAATCAATTTCAGTCATCATATGCTCACATTATGTTACTTAAGGCACTGTCAGTTACCAACTGATGTAGCATGATTTTTGTTATTTAGAATGCTTTTAAGTTTAGGTTATTGCTATTTCAGATTTTTGAGCTGTCACTGAACATTAAACAGCCCACATGTTATGATTAGCAGCACATCACACAATGATAAGAATGATTTTACCCTGCAGACGTAATATTTTCAAATAAATTATTGCTATCAGTATAAACTTCAAAATGAAGTCAGTTAAGGTGAAATACTAATGAAAATACTCAGCTTTTTCTCAGAAATATATGAATATTTTTAAAAGTGTTTTATACAATACTTAATTTTCTTGTGAATTGGATAGTTATTGGTAAAAATATAAATTCAGAAAAGGAAGAAGAGTGTTAAAGCATTGAAAATATTTCCTGAAACTTTCACTGAGCTAGGCTATACATTAGATGTTTGATGTAGATAAACTATATTTATCACTGTCACTCAATTATATGATTTCATTTGCCAAATCAAAACTTTTACACAGATTACATCAAAGAAAATGTCAATTCTGCATGACTTAGAAAAAAAACTTATGTTGTTATTTTGTTGTTTGGAAAGTGAACTCTATGAAGTAAGTGTTATTAAATTATCTGGCTTGTTCTTATGCTGATATTTATTGATTTTGTTTTCATTTCTCTTATGTACACTATTTGTGTGCTAGAAAGTGGATTTGTCCTCCTGAATCCAACAACATTTTGGACTGATTTGTTTATTAGACATTTCTTGTACCATAGAGAAGACCAAGTAAGAGATGATATGCTTTTCTTTGTAAGAAAGCAACCTAAACAGAAGAAGTCAAGATTTATTCCACAATTTGAGGTATATATTCTATATATAGAATATTAAATGTTTAAAAATTATTCTCATTTAGTTGAGTTATTATCTAGTCAAAATAATTTAAAATAATAAAACCTAGTGCCTTTTTACATTTAATCATTGTTTTTTTTTATTTGTAGTTTCTTTTGTTAGTGTGTGATTTTGCATTTTATTTCATTTTTATTTTACCTTAAATATTTACATTGATATTTAATACTTGCATTATATTTCAGTTTCCATCTCACAACTAAATCTTAGCACTTTCTGTCTTCTGTATTTTTACTTTCAGTAACACTATCACAATCTCAATTGCAGTAATTAGTGCATGGCATACTTGGTTGTTTACATGAACATACATCAATTTAGCATTCTGAATTGTTGCTAAATGTGCTTCATTTTAAGATCTTATCTTGGTGCTATTTGTTGAGTTGTCTTTGGAACTTCATCACCACTGTCATCAGTTATCTATCCATGGCCATATGGAACTTGAAAATCTTTCTTATTTTTCAGTGACATTTTCTATATCATTTTTTCATAATTTGACTTAAGTATATGAAACTGGTAAGAGGTAACAGATGACTTGATGTATTTAACTTTGATAACAAAATGTCTTAAAGCCATGGGTTAAATTGGGTTGAAAGAGTCTGGAATTGCATTCTGCCTGTTGAGGATTCAAGTCATTAGTGTTTCTGAATACAAATTTGGCTCACAAATCAATTGTGGAAGGACACCAAGGAGTGAAGAAAATGTCAGATAAAATCACCAGCAATTTCCATGGGCCAGGGGTCATCAGAGGTGTGACCAGATTCTGCAGGTAATGTAGCATATGCCAAAGGACAGCACCTGCCAACAAGTCACAGACACCTTCTATGAAGAATCTGGCCCATACATAAAATACCTATAACTGAATCAGATATATATCATGTACATCAGATAAATACTTACCTCTCTGCACCACCTCCCACCCTTCCTCCACATTTCCAGTGCATTTCATTTACCTTGTTCAATAAGAATACTCTTGGTAATTGGCAATATACTTAGCAGTAGAAGTTTGGAGGAACCAGACTGAAAGAAGACTGATGAAGCATCTGAAGTCACTACAAGAGCTCAGGAAAAGCAAAGCAAGTAAGACATCAAGCCCCTGCAAATCTCAAAAGGTGACATCCCAAATGGGGGTCTATGGGAACTAAAGGAAGCACAGAAGAAAGACCCTTCATTGGAGAAACTATGGGACAGTGTCTGTGAAAAAGTCATGCACAAGACAAAGGAAAAAGGGACTTACAAAATAGAGGATCAGAAGAGAGTGCTGTACCAGATCTATCAAGGCAGTTATACCGGGAAAGTTAAACAGATCATAGTACCAACATCATAAATGGGTGCCTTCATATACAAGGCCTCAAGGTCTCCTGCATAGTATGAAGTTTCCACCTTTATTCTTGGTATAGGAAGCTTTCTCACTGTTCCATTAATCAGCATATACACAAACAGATGTACCTTCCCCATTATCTGGTCATCAGATACTAGACTGTTTCTCTCTACTTTCAATGTTTGTCACATGATAAGGGTTTATGCTGAGCATTTTGCTTCTCAATTGGTTGAGGGTGCCAGCATGCCTCACTCCCCACGGGCTATGGATCAGTTTGCTTTGGCATACCGTCTTGCAGGCTGCCCATTTCTAGACTCTCAATTGTTGGGGTCTGTTTTGCCAGTTTGGGGGTCACTCTGAGATTTTCCAGTGCATTTAATCCATGTCCAGTTTTCATGCCTTTGTCTTACCCTTACTTCCCTTCTATGGTATTTATCTAAAATACATCTCCTTTCAGAGGCTATGCACCAAAATCCTGAGGTTGACTAGCTGAGTAAGGTCTGTTGCACCCTAGCCACTCTACACCTGGGGGCACTTCCATTGTTTTTTTCCCATACCAATTGGATGTGCTCCTCTGTTTTCCACCCATATATACGACACTTAACTCAGATGGACGAAGAGTATACCTGGCTCAGAAGTAATGTGTTCTCCCACATCAGATTTTTGAATCTGACTCTCTTGTCTCAAGGTGTGTCCTTTGGATGCTTTCAAAGGATGCTTCTTTTCTTCCCTTGCACCAGTCCCTCCATTGTTTCAATGTGGGATTCTAGCTATTTATGTGAATGGAGGTAATGTACCGTATCAAAAGTTATAATTTTACTATACTAAAAATGTATTTCTGATAAGTACTTACCTCTTCTCACCCTTCCTCCCCACTGAAAACCGGTGCTTTAATTTTCTGCCTAAACTCAAACTATTAATTTGGTAGAATTGAATAGAGAGAGTCACATGCATAATGAGAGTATGTTGCACTCTTATTGTTGGAAGGTTGTCGCATGATGATTTGCATGAGAGACATGTTGGAACGAGTCGTTTCCAATGGAGGGGAGGCAAAAGGCTTGTGACATGTGTAAAAAAAAGAATTTCCATACAGAGGACAGCACAGAATGAGTATTGCTAATTATGTGAGGGGAGGTAAGTACCTATCGGAAATACATTTTCACTATAGGAAAATTATAACTTTCATCTGTAATGAGACTAATTAACATCCTCTACTAGTGGTTGTTTGCAAAACTCAGACACCATGCAATGTTATGTCTCAAAACTCCTTACAGTTTCTAACATTTTTATGGCTGATGGAGGTTCTTTGTCTGTGGAAGATGTTACCACCAATTTTCAACGTTAATGGATTTTACTTTCCTTCACAGTTCCTCCATTTTTTGTGTGTTCTCCATTCCTCTCTTTCTTTTCTGATTGTGTCTGGTTTGTACTATACTCTTTCTTTCTCCTGTGTCCTATGTTTCTTCACAGTTTTTATTTCATGCTTTTATGCTGTAACTTTATTCCTTTCCCATTCATCTGACTTTAGTATCTATTCTGAGACCTTCTTATTTCAGCATTGTTCACACTCTTTCCTGTCTCATCCTTCTCATTTCGTTGATTCCTTTAACATGGCTTATAGTCACTCCTCTTCTGTCTTCTTGGGTCTTCAATCTCTGGAATACCTTCTAGTTCTATTTATAGATGGATACTTGCTGGAATCCATGATACTTATGGAGGAATAACAGCCGACTTAAGTGAAACATGAATGAAGACATACGTGAAAAACATGGAAAAGATAATTCACATTTGCTATGATTGAGAATGAACTTTTTTGAACCATCTGCAATACTTATCATTTTGAGTTTAAGAATTTTGATTGAAGAATAAAGGGAAGATATTCACCTACTAACAAAAAGGATAAAAGAACAGGAAATGAAAGTTTTTGAATAAATGTTGTCAGTTGCATCTCTGCTTGAATCTAAAATGAAGAAAATTGAAAACATATAGAACCATGAAAAGACAATTATATTCAAAACTTTTCATTTGATTTGATTGCTTAGAAATATAATCTAAACATTAAAGAAGTGATGAAGTATACTTTGAGTACAGTTGTTCCATCTTTAGCAACTACAGATGGTAAATTGTGTAAGACATGAAAAATCTGTTTTGGCCAGCTTTCTTGGGAGTCACAAAGCAGGCCTCATATGTTTATGATGGATCGTGTGATTAATGAATATAGACACTTTTCACAGCTTAACAATAACCCCACTCACATGGCAAGAGTTAGCATTATTAATATTTAAAAGATATGTTGTATTACAATTAATTACAATACCGTTTCCCTATTAAGTTGAAAATTTTAGTATTTCATGCCATAACAGGCTGCAACCCAGTTAAGTAACTTGTAGAATGGAAAGACCCTTTATGTTAATATCGAAAAACAGGAATATACCAATATTTCAGCCAAACTTGGAGAAAAATGTTGGTTCATGAATATCTCCAAAGTTTTCTTCCATGTAACGGTAAGATTGTATGTAACATTTATGATCATTATGAATCCAGATACCTTGTAGCTTTAAGCTATTTTCTGTTAGCAAAGTTACAGACATCAAGTCACCTATTACCTCTTACAGAGAATCATCTATTGCTTCAAGTAAGGATAGGAAAAATATCACTGGAGAATCTGAGATTTGTAAACCCTACCTGATGACAGTAGTATTAAAGTTAAATGGAAAACCCCACAACTATAGTACCAAATGATGTTCTTGAAAATATTACATGCATTCGTAGCAAAATTTCAATAGGGTACCTTACATATGCTCACATATTAGCTTTCCTCGATTTTGTGCTTCCCTCTATATACACAATTGTTTTTGTTCACCATTAGCCTTGAGGCTCCCACCTAAACTCACTTGTTTCCACAGTGAAGGTGCATTCCGAAAACTCAACAGTGGTCTCATACACCTCCAGTAAGGGAGTACTTGGTGTTTTTGGACATTGGGCCCACAGCCATCAAATTCCTTTGTTGACTTGTCATATTCTGGGTGCCCTGAATCTTGTTGTGGTTCATTTATCAAATTCTGACAGGATTTTCCCTAAGGAGTGGTCACTGGATCTGTGGGTGTTTCGTGGGCTGTGTGCCTGGTGGGGTGTTCCAGAGATGGATGCTTTTACCACTTGTCTCAATTCTTAGCTGTCATGGCTTTGGTCTCCTGTTCCACATCCTTTGGCTGTAACAGTGGATTCTCTCAGTATGCCCCCCTTTTATCTGATTTCCTGGGTCCTTTCATCATCCAGACCACTCTGTGTTGGGTTCTGTTAGTGGCTACATGTTGGCTGGCTCAGCTGTGATTTCCACTTCTGTGCCGACTATCGGTGTTGTCTCCATTTCCCCACCTTCCTTTGTCTGCTCCAGTGTGGCATGCAACATCTGTCAATCTCCTCACTCAGGCTTCCTGTGTGGCTTTTATCCAGTCCCTGGCCTAGCAGGCTGGACTTGTGCAGTGTGTGTGGCATCCTTGATTTCTCATCTTGTACATCCTTCCTCCATGGCAGTGTACCAAAGAAAGTGGTACATGTACTGTTGTTGGTCCACATGTCATTGTTATCTTCCATCCAATCCAACACTTCCTTTCTAACCTGGCTATTTGACAGG